CAGACTACAGGCGCACGCTACCACACCCGGCTCATTTTGATTTATTGTAGAGATGAGGTCTCGCTGCCCAGGCGGATCTCCAACCCGCGGGCTCAGGCAATCCACTCACCTCAGCCTCCCAAAGGTGCGGGATTATAGGCTGAGCCACCTAGCCTGGCTGTCTGTTTGTTTTTTAGGTCAAGGTCTCACTTGTTGCCCAGGCTGGAGTACAGTGGCACGATCACGACTCACGGCAGCCTTGACTTCCTGGACTCAGGCAATCCTTCCACCTTAGTTGGAACTACTGTTATGTACCACCACATCCGGCTAAATTTTTTTACTTTCCTTATTTTATTATTATTATTTTTTGTAGAGGCTAGCCTTGAACTTGAACTCTTGCGCTCAAGGGATTCTCCCACCTACATCTTCCAAAACCTGGGATTATAGGCATGAGCCACCGTGCCAGGCCCAAACATTTGTGGGTACATAAAGGAATGTTTGATATTAGGGGACACACTGAACGAGTTGAGCCAATAATATGTTGTTTTCCCTAGCACAATAGAACCAAAGATGGTTGAGAGAAGGGTCTATTTCTGGTGTAATATGTTGATTTCACAGATGAAAACATCAGAGAAGTGAAGTGATTAAGTACTTAACTGTGAGTTGCAGACGTCACAGTAACACCTGTGTGATTTTCTTTGCCCTAATGCGTGCATAACTGCTTCCACTTAAGAGAGACACATTTAACTTATAGGTTGATTTTCCACTAATTCCAGGCTACTGGAGCATTTTGCTACGGGTCAAATACTTTCTTAATTTCTTGCTCCTTTACTTTGGAATGATTTTCTTTGAGGGCAACAACCATGTCCATTTCACAACAATGAAAATGATGTTCTTTCGTAGAATTTCCCTTCTCTCTTTAAATATGGAAACAGAAAGAAATAGAGAAAAGAACAGATCAATACCCTTCCTTCCCCGGTGACTTGGTCATCTCCTCTGTCCTCATGTTTGCCTGCAGGGCTTGTTGCTCTTGATGGAGGTAGGTAGCCCTGCTGTAAGGCAGGCCTTAGAAAGGGGCAGGGATGGCTTAATACTTTGGACTCCCTGGGAATATGCTCAGGGCATCACACAGGAGAAGGCTGTGTCTACGCAAATGTCCTCTTGATCCACAGCCAATTAGCATGACCCTGAAAACTCTCCAAGGTATTCTTAGGGAAGCTAGCAAAGCCCTAGAGGGTCCCATCCATCTTACCATGGCCCTTCTGTCCGGTAAAAAATATCAAGTTATTTTGCAGTGCCGAGTGGTTGTTTGCCAGCTGAAACTTCAGGTGGAATTCGTGATGGGAGCTGATGTCTGAGACCCGTGAGTAAGCCAGGAATGAGGTGTATCCGAAGTCATCCGTGCCGCTGAACCTGGGCTGAGTGACAGCAACAGCTGTAGAAAACCCAAACCAAACAGTTAGAGTTAACCTGAACACATACTTGTAAAAGGAGGGTTGTTTTGCTGCTGTGTCTGCCCAGGTAGTCTGTTTACTGTCATATTAATTATACTTAAGTGCCCTTCCTTGTTGAGCAACTAAGTGACTCAGGGAATTTCAAAACCAGAGGAAAGGAAGTGCAGTGTGTTGACATCCTGCACACATACAGTATAACCCTTTCACTCAAGGCCCTTTCTCCATGATGGAGAATTTACCCAAAAAGCAAAGCCCTATATTTTGAAGCTTACTTTTAGAAATAGAAAAGCTCACTGGCAGCCAAAGAATTTGCTCAGGTGATTTATACACATGATTTGGCCTCCAGACCCTGGGTGTGACTTAGAGAGGAACTCAGAGCTTGGAACCCACTGTGCTTTCGAATCCTGCACCTTTATATGAGTCAGTGGCCCAGGTCTAGGTTAGAAAAATCAAGAAATGGGAAGGAAGTGGGTTAATTTCCATCACCATGTTGGGAGTGACCAGAATGTTTTGGGTTTTTTTTAAGAAGAAATAATTATCTGAAAGAAATGCCCATCTTTCCTTTGGTGGGATGTTTGTTAAGTGATAGAAGTATGGACTTTAATAGGCTTGAAGATGTAGGGGAGGGTTAGGAAAAACAAATAGCACAGCAGAAGTTCAAGGGCCACTGTGGGCAAAATGGAATTCAAACGAGGGGAGGGGTGCCATTGGTCTTCTAGTCTCTCTTTTCATCCTGCTTCCAGTTTTCTTATATTCAACTCGTCTCTTTCACTGTGCTGTTTCCTTGTAAGTGGTTCCTACTGGCTTTTGTTTCCCTGTCCCAAAAGGACAACAGAGAACAGGAAGTGGGATGTTGATCCCCCCATCTCTTATGTCCCCAGATTAAAGGATCCCCTTAGGATCTGTTTTTATTAGTTGGGGACAGCTTGATGGAAGGAAGAAAAGCTTGTCTTGGTCACCTCATGTTGTTAAAAAGATGTTGGGCCTCCTGGGGAAGTTGTCAAACTAGATTTTTTACCTGTCTTAAGAAATATTCTTGCTTTAGTACTGAATGCTCAAGACAAAAGAGCTTGTTAGTCTTGTTATAATTGTTTATACAGCAAATCATTGTGCTATCCGGGGAAAAATGATTCTCGTCATGAGAGGTTTCTAGTTGTTTGTTTCATATGATTCTTAAATGAGGGTATTTGTGGGGAATAAGCTGAATACTTCATTTTAATATTTTATGAAAATCTTATCAGTTTGTTTCCTAGGATGTGTGGCATAAGGTAAGTGTAATTTTCCCAAAACTCACCAGAATGTGAAGTAGGGATTTGGCAATATCTTATATTTATTTTTTAATTGAATGAAAAAAAGTATGGCTTTTATTTCAGAGGAAAGATGACTCTTCACATCAGCTATTTCACTTTCAGTAGTATTGGGGGATGTGGGGAGGATGATTGAGGGACATGAAATGTATTGGAATTGAAACATAAAAATACTGCCGACCTTTCAATGTTGGCATTAAAAACAGTGAAAATAGAATTCAGTTACATTCACTGCTAAAATAGAAGAGAAATGACTATCTTCTTCTTTTAATATTTTGTCCTGGTAGTAATTTACAACCAAGTTTACTTAAAGTTTTCATTACATTTAGGTTAGACTGACAATACATATCTCATCTATACTTTATTTTTACTTTCAGACCCTGTGCTAGATGCTGGTGACACAGAGACACCAGCAAGAAACAAGTGTGAGGTCAATGAACTCGTTCGCTGAACTGGACTGAAAGTCAAGGCCTGGGAGAAGAACTTTCATGCAGAAGAAAGAGCATATTCTAAGCTATGAAGGCCAAAACAGTGTGTCATGCTCAGGGAGCTTATGAACGCTGAGAATTTTAGAATGAAGAATAAAAGCGAGAGTGGAAGGAAATGAAAGACATCAGTCACACGGGGTCAGATCACAAAGGGCTTGATACTGTCTCCATAATCCTGAAGTGACTGGGCAGCTTTTAAGAACCATTACTCTGTTGATAAATTGTCAGTCACAGATTAGACGGAGAGAGCTGAAGGACCAACTTTTGGTCAAGGATGAGAATGAGAAGTCTGGTCCAGGAATGGTGGCTCAAACCTGTAATTCCATTACTTTGGGAGGCTGAGAGGGGAGGATTGCTTGAGCTTCAGAGTTTGAGACCAGTCTGGGCAACATAGCAAGACCTCTTCCTTACAAAAAAAATGAGCCAGTTGTGATGTCATGCACCTATATTCCCAGCTACTCGGGAGGCTGAGGTGGAAGGATGGCCTGAGCCCAGGAGGTTGAGGTGAGCAATGATTATGCTACTGCACTCCAGCCTAGATGACAGAGTAAGACCCTAACTCAAAAAAAAAAAAAAAAAAAAAAGAAGAAGAAGAAAATGAGAACTCTGGTGATATCAAGAAATCTAATGATGAGTAAAGCCCACACAGAATTTAAATGTGAGGCAATTCATGGGTCACTCATTGAAGAAGACAATGGTGTGACATTTGAACAGTAAATAGAAATGTGTTGTTAGTGCTCGTAGCAATCAGGATTAGGTTCATGACACAATTTTATACATTTGGAGTCTGAGAATACCCATGAAGACTGAGAATTACTATGACCCACAGGAGGGGATATGTTACTGTCAGCGTGTCTTAGTCTGGAGGTGACCTGTCATCCAGGAAAGTAGCTCCTTGCCATCTGTGGTTGTTGAGCAATCGCACTGTGGCTAGGCCTGACTAAGATGGGCTTAGTATGACCAAAATAAGATAAAATACCGATATTTTCATATGCATTAAACATCGGATTAAGTAAAATCTATTAGTAAATAAATTTCACTTTTTTTTTACTTTAAAATAATGTGTTTGCTAGAAAACAGAATTACATAGACAGCTTATGTGCTATTTCTACTGAATGGCACCAAGGAGAGAACCAAGTGTGTTTTGACAGGTACGTTCTTCCTAAATCCTTGGTTGTGACTCACTTAGGGGGATTTTTCTTGGAGTAACTTTGAGTCTATAAAAAATAAGGTCTCACAGTTATTTGAGAGACTGAAGCAGCAGGATTGCCTAAGCCCAAGAGATCGAGGCTGCAGTAGCGATGATCATGCCACTGCTCTCCAGCCTGTGTGACAGAGTGAGACTCACACTAAAAAAAAAAAAATAGGGTGTCTATGGAGACATAAAGAATCAGAAGGGATCAAAGACAATACAGTCCGTCACGAAGACGTGTCTATGTCCTCATCCACACTGTCTCTATCATACTGGATCAGGCAGGAGAACATGGAAGGACCCCGATTCGGGTGAAGGAGGCTTTCAACCTTACAGCTCATTCTTTCCAATTCTTTAAAGCAAGCCCTTCACCATCTTAAGTAATGCTTGGTTAATCAAATCAGGAAATTGAGCAAATTATAATGGGTGTACATGGGGGCTAGTAACTGTACTTTTTCTTTTGTACTCCCTAGCTTCCTCATGGCTTTCATGTACACAATTGTGCACTTTTTTTCAATTATTTTAAGAATTTCAGCAATAAATTAGGAACATGAGGAAAAAAGAAAGATGCTGCAATTAAAACTAAAAATTATTTGTTTTGTATGTGGGAGAAGAGAGCAAAAATCACTAACAACGGTCTGGGAAAATTTCAAAAAGCATCTTGACATCATCTAGGGTCTTAAAAATTCTAGGAACCTTGAGTGAAGGTAGAATGTCTCAACATTTTCAATTATGTCATGGTCCTATATTATAGGCTGCATGTATAACCTTTTTATAACATGTTACATTATGCTAACAAAACACACATTTTAGCAAGAATTACCACAGAAGGGCATAAACTTCAATTTTAAAGATATTTACTAAAGAAAAATTTTCTCATTCTCAATAAAGGAGGAGGAGAAGGCACTAATTTTTTAAAATTTTCTATTTTGATTTGGGGGAACACATACAGATTTGTTACATAGGAGTGTTATCTGACGGTGAGGCTTGGGTTTCCATTGGACCTGTTACATAGGTGGTGGACATGGGTGGTTTTCAGACCTTATCCCACTCCCCGCTTAGGAGTCCCCTGTGTCTGTTGTTCCCATCCTTGGCACTATTGTCTTTAATGTAACTCTATATTTTTCTCCTTTTAAAAATATTCTGCTGTTAGTCTCTCTTTTTGTGTGTGTATGAGAAAGCAGGATTTATTGAGAGAACAGAAAAGCTCCCACAGTGGGAGGGGACCTGAGGGGGTTGTCCAGTCCCTCTCTTGATTTGAATGACCGAAGTTTCATCAGAGTGACCAAGATGAGCTCTTTGAATGTGGGAAGAAGGCATACACATAGCTCAGGTTTCAGAAGATCTTCCCTTCAACTCTGCAGATGATGATATCGCCTGAAACCCTGGCTGGTGGGAGGCCATGAGCTACCTAATATCGGTGTGTGGGAGGGGGCACTGGAGCCAACCAGCTCAGGCACAGGGGTGAACTCACTTCCTGTGTCAACTTTGGGTAAGTTACATCACTTCTGTTTTAGTTTCCTCACCTGTAAAATGAGAATGTAAGAGAACTTAACATTTTGAGAAAAACAAGAAAAGTTCACGACCGAAGGAAACACACCCATGAGCTAACCACGGATCTCAAGAGAGCAAACATCTTGCTCCATATCTATGATCCTGCTGCAGTTCCCCCAGTCAAGTCACCTTCCCAGTCTCTACTATGTAATATCTCCCTCTTTCTTCTCAACATCCGTATTTATTGTCTATCAATTAATGTCCTTGCTTTTTTATTTTACCAAGAAACATCAAACCTATCCACCGGGATTATCCCGTCCTTTCACCATCAAATTCTCCCACCCTCAATCTGTCATCATGACCTGCAATGCTCTGCCTTCCCTTTGGTGCGAGGCTGACTCTGCCTGGGTGTGGGATCCATGCCCCACCTGCTCAAGGGCATTAGTTCAGAATCTCTGTTCTGCCTCCCAGGAGACACCAACTGATTCTTCTCTACTGGA